TCTAAATATGTTAGGTGGCATGAGAGATTAAGAAGGAAAGGTTGAGGAAAAAAAATAGCAGTCAAGTTTGAAAGACATTGCTTTACACACAAGGACAATACAGAAAAGTGAGCATTCTTCATTCTGTCTTGCATGAGATACTCCATTTTTGGTTCTTTTTTAGACACAGATAAGATTTTTCTTTACCTTGCTGATGTGTCGTTTGCGGCTGCAAACATCCTCAGAGCTGACGCTGATGGTGGCGTCACTTCCTACTCCGTTTATCTGCGGGCAGCAGAGGACGTTGTCGCCCTCTGCTGCCCGCTCTCCCCTCTCCGATGATGCAGTCCCATGCGTGATCCAATATGTAAACTCTATCGTCTCTGTTCATGGCAAAATATATCAGCAGAATCATTAGCCTGTAACACAGATCAACTCTGCAAAAATAGCATAGAACTGGCAAAAGAACTAAAAAAAGACTACAATAGAAAATAACAATATACTCATCTTACATGACGTCACATCCCTGTTCACAAAAACACCAACCCAAAAAACCATAGACATAGTAGTTAACAGAATCAGACAGGACAATACGTTACACAAAAGAACAAAGCTCACAGCAGATGACATAGCACAACTGATAGGACTGGTAGCTAACTCCACTTACTTTACATACGATGACACAATAAACAAACATCTGGAAGGCTTCGCCATGGGTAACCTGTTATCAGCCACCCTGTGCGAGTTTTTCATGGAAGACCTAGAACAAAAAGCCATAGCCACTGCCCCCCCAAACTGCGAAACGTTACATAGACGGCATACTGGAAATCATACCAAAAGGACAAACAGAAACACTAACACAACACTTGAATAACATTGATGACACAGGCAACATAAAGTTCACTTATGGGTCAGAAACAGAAGGCAGTATAGCATTTATGGACATGAAAATAATCAGGCAGACCGACGGGGCCCTAAACATAATCACATATAGGTGTAAAGCCTGACTCGAGCTGAGCTGAACCGAAGCGAGAGTTCCCAAGCGCGGAGTGACTGACGCCGGGCAGACTGACACGCGGTTTGATCTAGGAGTCAACCGTATAATGACTGGAGAGCACGGCGGCTCCAAAAGTTAACAAGCTGACTTACTTTGAGTCGGCAGGGTGAGTAGCACGGGCTGATCTGGTCAGAACGTGCTGAGTGATCGGGTTGGATCTGGTCGGAACTCGGAGCACAGTTCGGCTAGAACGATGACTGAGTGGTTTGGCGTTGAGCTGTACTTCCTTATGTAGATGTGGCGGGTGACGTGGGCCCGAAGACTGGTGCTGGGAATGCTGGGTAGTGGAGTTCGGTTGGCCTGAGTGGGTGTGTGGTCCTCCCCGGAGGATGTCGAGGGTTGTGAAGGGGCAGCGTGACAATAGGAAACTAGCACACACAGACCAATATTTGTCATGGACATCAGAACACCCCACCATACACAACATGTCAGTAATCAGAACATTATATCACCGAGCAAACATGATAACATAAGAAAGAGACCGTAAACAAGAGGACAAACACATACAACACACTTTAAAGACCAGCGGAGACCCGACATGGGCCAAAAACAAAGGAAAACAACAAACAACAACAGAAAGAAAAGAACAACCTAAGCAAAGAACCAGAAACCTAGAAAGACAAGAACCAAAACCAGTGATAACCCATACCATACATCAAAGGCATTACAGAAAAAATAAGAGCAACAATGAAAAAAACATAACATAAGCACACCAACAAAACCATACACAACAGTTAGAAACAGACTAGTGCACCCAAAAGACAAGATACCAGCTGGACATGAATGTGGAGTTATTTATGAAATCCCATGCAAACTCTGCAATAAAACATATGTAGGAGAAACCGGACGCCAACTCAACACACGAACAATAGAACATAGAAAGGAGTGCAAGAAAGAAACAAGTCAAAGACACACAAGAACAGCAAAAGAAGAAGCAGAAAGTACAATAAAGAAATAGTCCGTTAACAGATCACTGCACAAGAGAAAACCATATAATGGACTGGGCGACAACGTCCTCTGCTGCCCGCGGACAAATGGAGTAGGAAGTCACGCCACCATCAGCGTCAGCTCTGAAGATGTTTGCAGCTGCAAACGAAATGTCAGCAAGGTAAAGAAAAACCTTATCTGTGTTTAAAAAATAACCAAAAATGGAATTTGAAGACAAACACAGCAAGAACGTACAAAAGATGCATTAGATACTGATACAGAAAATATATATTGTGTCAGGAGGTAATAAACTAATTTGTTGCAGCTGAATTATGCACAAAAATAAAACACAACAACCAGTTTCCATTCTGAGTTTGACTTGTGGTCACATTTCCTCTATTTTCTCATGGTTTTTTGTCTTCAGTTGGGGCTAGTTGGGACACTTGTTAATGCATGGGTGGAACTCACAGTTATGTTCTTTAGTTTTCTTGGTAACACTTTTACAATTATTGATGTTATTTAGTGTATTATTTAGTATAAATAAGCTAAGGGTCCCTTTAATAACGTTAGGTGTCCTTAATGTTAAGACATAAGCCCGGGTATGTGTGTGTTATTAAATAATGTTAATTAATTATGAGCAAAACACATCAATGAAATAGATGAAATCTGGAAAAAAAAACTTTACTTTCATGTACTTACATTTATTTTTAATGAAGAACCGTTATTGCAATATATATATATATATATATATATATATATATATATATATATATATATATATATATATATGCAAATATTACATTCAGGGATAGCTTTGTTGTAACAAGAGTGATTTGGAAATGTGTTTCTCCTACTTTCATTTACAATTTTAGAATTTAGCGATTCAGTTTTACTTATCTTCATTTTTCACTTTGAGCCATTAAATTACAATTTATTGCACACAATTTCCATTTATTTATCTAATTTCACTAAGTTTATAAAATTAAACTAGCTGTTGTGATCAAATACTTAACTTTCTACAAATAGTTTTTTTTATTTGTATTTGTTTTTCATTTGATTTATTTGAGTAGTTTATACATTTATTGTGCACCAATCTCTGGTGCTGAGGTCACTAAAGGCACTTTCACACTGGCATAAGCTCCACTCCACCTGGACCGGGTTGGGAGTGTTCTCATTTAGGCAACCTTGGATTTTTCCATGCGCAATCGGAAATCTTTTTAGCCCTCTTTCCGATGTGATCTGCCTGGAGTCGAACAGGGCTGAGATGCCAACCTCCGGCTGATTGGCCCGCTTCAAATCATGTGTGGGGGAGGCGACTGGCGAATAGAATCAGCCCTTGCGGGCTTCCAGCATGCACAATTCATTATCATTCTGTATGCTGTGGATTTAACGAGCCTCTGACTGAAGCTGTCTCTCACCGTTGTGAGGAGGCACACATACTCTTACACAGACTTGGGGCGACGGTGGCACAGGAGTTAGGTGCTTGCCCAGTAATCAGAAGGTTCAAGGTTTGTCGCTATCTTGTGTCCTTGTGTAAGACACTTAACCCTTCTTGCCTGCTGGTGGTGGTCAGAGGGACCGGTGGCACCTGTGTATGGCAGACTCGTCTCTGTCTGCCAGGGCAGCTGTGGCTACGTCGTAGCTCATCCCCACCAACGTGTGAATGGGTGTGTGAATGATCGATTGTGTTGTAAAGCATCTTGGGGAGTTCCAGGACTCTAGAAGGTGCTATATCAAATACAGACTATTTACACACACACAGTACTGGGTTAGTAATGCATTACAGAAAATGGTTAAGCAGTTACTTTATTCAATTGTGTCTTATTGCACTAAATAACATTAATAAAGGGACCCTTATTCTAAAGTGTTACCCATTTTTTTCCCAGGGGCTAGAGGCATCAAATCATTTGTATTTTTGCATTCTAATGAATTTGTGAGCTCCACCTTTGGTCATGTCCTTTCTCTCTACGCTTCATCTTTTCCAGAAACATTTTCTTCTTCCTTTATTCTGTAGGGCTTCATCTTGTCCTTTGAACTGTTCTGTCGTGGTTGGCAAGCCGCTTCTTGGTGTGTTCTCTAAATGTTGTGTGCCAATATGGTAAAAAATAAACAATAATAATGCAAATGTTGTGTAGGCCTGGAGCCAGAAACCAATATTAAAGGTGCATGCTATAACCCACTGTGCTATCCCGGGCTATGGACACGCCTCTGATCCTGAGCTGTCAAATGTGTGATGAACTTTTTAAATAAAAACAAAAGAATCATTGGCACACAAGGTGGAAAGGTATTTGCATACATGTACTTTCAATTTATGGGAAGTTAATATTTTATCAGTACCTAATGAGCTGTTAAGACACTAATTTATTTTCTGCAAACCATTTTTTATTTAGTTTTTTCTTCCCAATTGCCCCAAATCTTGAAATAAGTTGCTTATAAAACTGTAATTGAGTAATTAGTCATTTGAAAATGGAAAGTAGCCACAACAAATTGTCCTGAAACACCTTTTTGAATGAAACATCATTCTCCTGGATTTTCGATTGTAACTCATTTATTACATAAGAAGAACAGTGGAAGACCAAGCAATGCACTGACATTAAGCACCAATTAATTTAACTGAGCCTCAGGAGCAGAATAAATAAGAAAATGAGGAGTTTAATGGTGCATTAGTGCGGACTCAGTCGAGCAGGCCCCGAGCTGTGTTTTTAAACAGGCAGCCAATACAAATACCAACCTGTGACACACATCAAAGAGACATGGAGTCCTCAAGGAGCGGGCGGGCTGTAGACTTCAGATGTCAGTTATGCACAAATGCTTCAATTTCCCTACATTGTTTGACAGTTCTGGTTGCAGATGTTTCCTTTTAGCCCAACCTGTTTATTATTTCATTGCTGAATAAAAGTATAATTCCATTTGCTTCTGATTTGATCCATTTTTCTGAACTTTGTCAGTCAGTAAACTCCGCTGCTCATGCTGACAGTTCTTTTTTTTTCAGTGTGAATATGCTGTTGCACAGGTTGGAAACAAGAATCAGACAATACAAAAAAACAACAATAGTTTATTTACCGTATTTTGTGTATGAACTACAAACTCTGGTCTCTATAATCAATCTTCATATCTTTTAAAGGTCATGAAAAATGCTTACATGAAAATCAATCCCTTACTCTGTTACATCATGTTTCGCTATTTTCACTTTTCAAACAGGTTGTTGGCACATGTAAAATCAGAATAATAATAAAAAAACAACAATTATTTTTTACTTTATTGTATTCTCAAAATGTGTTTTTTTATAGAAATCTACCACTAGAACAGCATTCCCTCTCAGACAAAATAAATTAAAATAGTGGGAATAAAGGAATACTGACTTAAAATATTTAGTTATCTTACATACATGAGACAGTTTGTCAAAATGCAACAAATTGACCAACGACAATTTTAATTCCAAACTAAATTAGAAAAAGGAAACGGGGATACAAAATGTGTGTTTCACACCCAGGAACTTAAACACTGAACAATGACTCACACTCAGGCTCACTTCTGGTTTACAAATGTGCCAGACTCCACAAAAAGTAGCATTGATGGATGACCAGAGTCCAGGTGTTGGGTGGGGTGGGGGGGTGGGGGCGGGATGAGGTAATCCATAACAGATCTCTATGTGTTTAATTAGTCTGGATTCAAAATACCAAAGGACCTTATTTAAATCAGTAATCCCTTTAATTTGCATGTATCCCATTTCAGTGATTTAGAGAATAAATAAACTTTTCTGGACAGATCTCCATGCTGAGGGTTCTGTAGCCATCTGCTTTAGTGTCTGGAAAGGTTCTGGAGCTTCCATTGAAATGTTCTGCTGTTTTGATCTAGAAAATTAAAAAATACAATTGAATTTATAAATAACACGGACCTCATTGCTTATAAATATTGCATTTTATCCTCATTTAAAATGAAAAAGGGGTGTTTTTTGCACATCATATCAAATCTTTTGAAGATTACCAAGTATAATCATTTTAAAAGCAGATTTTATATCTTTGTAAAATGCACTGACGGTTTTTATTTTTCAATTTATTCATCTAGAATTAGATCAAAGTAATGTCTAATTCTAATTTGTCATCTGATGGGCTAAATTTTGTTCACCATATTTATCTTTCATAATTAACTTTTGGTAAATATTTAAACAAATAATAAAATCTGTATATAGAGGACACACGATTTGAGACAAAATGACTTGTGAACTTAAGTAATAAAATGTAATTGCTACATTAGACGAGACTTGTCAGACTTGCTGAAAACTTTTAATGTTGCTCTTAATTTAGTAAAATCTATAAAAAGAAATATGTATTTCTTTCAATATTGATAATAATTGTCATTGATTAAAAATGTGTAAACTCACTGGCAAGAAAAAATGAGTTTCCCACAGATTTGATGAAATCTGAAATAAATGTTAAAATTTAACCATTAAAATATTTTGATTAATGGGCCAGATGTCATACTGGTGGGATATGCTATGATAGTAACCTGGCCTCAATAGAAATTTTACTTTTGAGATCAAACTGAAATAATAATAATAATAATAATCACTTCCTAAAAGTAAACCAAGAACCATCTGCCAAATGCCTGCCTAACCACTGCCTTTATGGTGCTTGGCACCATTTTGCACAGTTGGGGACCTTGAAATGGTTTCTACGATATGGCCGCCCACAGAGCTTAGTCTATCCAAAGCCCATGGGCACATCAATTAAAATGTAAATTGTGTTGTCAACTAGGGGAGAGGAAGGGAAGCAGGTGCAACTCAAACATCTGGTTGATGCCTGATCCCACACATTGAGGCTGCTTGTAAAGCCTCTTGTAGCATAAGTCTTGCCACTCAGGGCCAAGTGCTACGGCTGGCTGGGGCAGGGTGTGAATCTGGGGCTGCCTAACATCCCCATGTGGAAATGTAGCATATTAATGACAAGCAATGTGCATAGACAGCTGTATTAAGACTTTACACTCGTTCTTCAGTTCTGATTATGACAGTGTCTTCTCACAGACCTGTAGAAGGGACAGGTCCCAACATACTGAAATGTGCAACAGTGCACTGTGGAACTGGGTAAAACTTGCCAAATTTTAGAGAGGTCCTTCACTCATATGTTATTACAGTTGCAGGGTCTATAGCAGGAACATATGCCTTGTAAGGTGTACTCTAGGAAATACAGCTCAGATGTGCCTGTTTCACCATGAAGAATTCAGCCGGAAGAGAAAGTAGTTTCACACGGCAGGACTTGGAGTTTGGAAATCTCGCCTCAGATTGGTTAACAGCAACGCAACTCTACCACTGACTCTGATTGCTCTGTAACGTTGGTGTTTTACCTCCACAAATAAAAAGCCTGATGGATGCTGTGTTGTGGAGTTGCTAATGTTAGCGGTTAGCTTCTACTAGCCGATACGTTCTCTGCTATTTCCTAGAACCAGAAGGAACCAACGGCAGCCTTCCCCATCATGAGTCAAGATGGGTACGTCTGAATGTTACGTGACAGTGTGACGTAGTTCTGTCAGGCCTTCAAGTCCTAGAGTTTAACCGTCTATTTTCATCCAGAAGCTAATGCAGGAGATATTTGTAGCAGACTATTTTCATGTTTAGCCTGCATGCCAAGCTCTGAATGACTGATCATTTAAAAACATGATGTGTAAACTGGTTTCTCAGTGAAAGAGCTCTTTAAAGTCACTAATATAAAGAGAGACTTTGATCATGATTAAATTTATTTTTTACACTTTAAAAAGGCAACTTTTGAATTTCAGAATCTCTGTAATTCCTAATTTAACCAATGGTTATGTAATAGGAATAAACAAAATTAAACCCCAAAACTATTGAGAAACCACTTGCATCAAGACATTGTTCATACTTCCATTCAAATTATATTTAACATAAGCATACTGGATAAAAAGAAAAAGATCACAAGATTTTGTTATAAGAAAAAAATCAATAATTAGGAGCTTATATGTCAAAAGAAGGAGCCATTTCCCTTTATCCAAGATCCATTGGACTACTGATGACAGATCAGGCGCCTAATGTATGTGACAGTTATAATTAAACAGTGAATAATGGTCAGATTTCATCAGCGACACTTTCATTCTGTCAAGTGTTTAATTCAGCTATGTTCCAGATGGTCACAAAAGATTTCAATCACTTCACCCACAGCTGGAGAAAATCCCTAATGCGCTCTAAATTTCCTTGATAGATGGAGGAAAATTAGGTAACGCACTCTTATCCAAATTATGCAGTTCTACCAAAAGAACAACCTGAAAGGAATTATATATTTTTAACAGATATGTAAACCCATGTGTGACATGATAAGAAAACATAACACATGAATTAAGTGATTTAAAAATAATTTCAGAATTATTTTTTTCTTGATTCAACGACAATATTTTTTTCTTAAATAAATAACTTCTGTTTTGTAAAGACACTTTTTGAAACAGTAGACATATTCTAATTCCAAAAGTCTTTGAATTAACATCGCCAGCAAGTGATTTGCCAAACACAAGTTTGTTTCTTCATGTTTGCGCTACAGTCTTCGTGACTAACTGTCGGCACTGTCCTGTCAGTAATGCCACTGTGTAATGCCAACATCAGACAAAAGAATTAGATTTGGGTCTCTTGTACATTGTCTTTTGAGGTCGCTCGAATTAACAAAGGTTCGTGCGCTGAGCTGTGTATGGAATTGATGGTAGAGGCATGGTTGTAAGCAGTCTTGTAGGTGTTGTAGTGGTTGAGGTGCTCATGCTCCAGAGGTGGCAGAGTCAGGTGCCCCTCCATTCCTGGGCCCCCAGTCACACAGTCCTCATCCACATTGATGATCTCGATGGCACGCGTGGGTGCGTGGTGGTTCTGCTGGTGGTGTTGTTTGCGCATCTTGTAGAAAATGATCAGCATTACGGCTGCCATGAGTGTGATGGCAACAAAGCAACCAATTATGATCTTGGTTGTTTTCATCACCTCATCCAAGCCGTTCAGTGAGCTCTCCGTTACGGGGATTGTGTAGGTCTTCTCGGTGGCACGAGTAGAGAGTGGGGTTCGAACCGTAGTGGTTGTTGTTGAGGTGGATGAAAGAATCTCCCACATTCCAACAGAGGGTGTGGGGCCAACTTTCTGTTGAAGGGTAGTGGTGAAGCCTTCGTGATGCGGTGTTTCTATCGTCTCTACCGTCACTGTGGTGAAGTAGCTGAAACTGCTGTTCTCCGTCGAGGACACATTGAGTGTTGCGGATGCTGTAGTGTTGCCTGCAGAATTACTGACCATGCATGTATAAGTGCCTGTGTCCTGCATGGTAACATTAGTAAAATTCAGTGTACCATCATTCAGCACAGAGATTCTGACCTTGTATGCACCGTGTGTCATAATGGAACCATTAGGCGTAATCCAACTTACAGAGGTCAAAGAGCTGGCTCTGCATTTCAGCTCTGCAGCACTTCCCTCTGTCACATTTAGGTCTGTAGGGGGCTCCACAATAACAGGAGCATAACAGTGAAAGTAATTCTGGTCCAGCTCACCAATGTATCGTCCTTTATAAAGAGCAGGTGAGCTGCATCGGGCACAGCAGCTGGTGTTTGCTGGTACCATCTCCTTTAGCCACCAGCTTAGCCAGAGGATGTCACAGTTGCAATTCCATGGGTTGTGGTGCAAGTGCACCCTCTCCAGGTGATGTAAAGGAGTGAAAAGATCATGGGGTAAAAGGGTTAGGTTATTGTGGGCTAGATTAAGCTCCACGAGGGACTGGAGGTCATCAAATGAGTTCCTTTCTATGGTCTGTATCTGAGCATGCATCATCCATAGTTTTTGCAAGTGGATAAGCCCTTTAAAAGAACCAGGTCGAATAATAGATAACTGGTTTCCAGACATCTCCAGTTCATCTAGCTTTACCAAAGGTGTAAGGTTGGGAATTTCTTTCAGATTGCACATTCCCAAGTTTAAGTAGCGAAGGTTGCTCAATCCTTCAAAGGCTCCTTCTGATATGTAGGAGAGTCGTTTGAGCTCACCAAGGTCCAACCTTCTTAAGGAGGGAACTCTGTTGAAAGCATAAGAAGGAATGCTCTCTACTGGGTTATTTCTAAGCCAAAGCTCCTTCAGTTTGGATAGGTAGTCAAAAGCTCCATTTGGGATGGTGGTGAGTCGATTATCAAAAAGCTCCAAGGTATTGAGGCTGGCCAAGCCATTAAAGGCCCCAAGCTCAATTTTGCGTATGTGGTTTTTGCTCAGTTGAAGGATCTCCAAATGTCTTAGGTGCTTGAAGCTGTCCACCTTAATGACCTGAATGAGGTTTTCTTGCAGATTCAGGTAGCGTGTGTTGGTAGAGATGCCATCAGGGACTTCTCGCAAGCCTCTGCGGGTGCAGATGACTTTACTGAACTGGTTGCTACAAGAACAAACAGACGGGCACGTCTGAGCACGCACAAGTCCTGCCACCACCAGCAGCTGCAGGGCAAGGAGCAGTACAAATAAAGGGTCGGAAAAGGCCCGGTTCCACCTAGGACCTCGCATCATCTGCTGCTGCTGAGAGGAGGTCATCTTGTTGAACATTCATAATTCATTGACTTGTCTTTCACTCTGCTTAAAGAGGATTTGTGGCCACTGGAAAGAAAAGAGAGAAAAAAGAAAAACTTCCATTAGAAACAGTAATAAAGTCCAAGTTTAATGGATGTCTGATACCTTCATAAAAATATGACATACTGGGTAAATTTTACAGCAAAAAATGTCGTATTAACCCTTTGATGCATAATGGTCACTACAGTGGACAGGTACTCAAAATTGTTATTTATTTGTTTTTGCTATTAAGCACAGCTGTTGAAGACTTTATTGCATTTGAGCCCCTCCATTTGGACTTCAGTAAGCCAAGCCAACATATTTCATTCTCAGAATGCACACTGCCCACTGAAGTGGACATGTAATAAATTATTTGTAAATTATAAAATTTTACAAAAACTATTTGTTGAAATTTGTTTCATTCACACCTAAAGACGAATGAAAAAAATTGTTAAAGAAAATCATGGTTGAAGATTTCATAATTCATGCATGAAAGGGTTAATAAATCATTTTCTTGAGCCAGTGTGTGCTAAATTGACCCTTTGCAGGGTTAATGAAATGTCACTCAGACCCCCGCTGCCCTCAGTGGCCAGAATATCACATTTGCAACTTCAGAGTGGCGGGTTGCCCCCTGTTAGACTTAGTAACGTGGATCTGACATGCTAGCTGTGGAGTGTGCTTCCAGCATGTTTTAGATTGCAAACACAGCTGATTTGTCTGATTTAGTATTGAATCACTCTTGTAGAAACTAATGAAAGGGTAGGAGACATTTCCGCATTTAGATTAAGGTGTTAAAAAGATGAACGCACAACGAGGTCGAGTATCGTTTTAGATTTCACTAACGGACATTGAAGGTGATAAAAGCAAGCCAGAACTGTATCCCTTTAACCGTTTTAGACATTGAAAAACTTTATTGTGTAATCGTTTCCTACTTTCCTTTTGATAACCCCAAATGTTACCATTCCCTAAGAGTGGTTAAAGGAGCAGCTATTCAGTTTCCGAGATGAAAAACAACAAAAAATAAATTGTTTTACAAAAAGAAAATGTCAGTGCATGTTAAGTGGATTCTAAATCATGTTCTGTTTATCTTTTCTTTTTTGTGTGCAAGGTAATAATTCTAAATCGTTTTCTTACTACTAAATTAGGAGACTGTTGGATATTTTTATTACACAAACTCTTCATTTTTTCACTTTTTGATAAGCTGCAGCTCAGTGGAAAATAGTTTAAAATGGTGTAGTTCATTGTTTAACTACAAAAAACATGAAAGTCGTGTTTTCACGCTGCCTCCCACTCAGACTTTTAATTTTCAGACTTCCATGTGAGAATTTTCAGACTGTTGAATATTATATTTCTTTCAGTTTCTATTCAGTTGGATCCAGGCTTAGCAAACAAAGAGCAATTTGGATAAAAGCATGTTTAACACACATAATTATTGACTTAGTGTTTATGGTCAGTTGTGCTTACTAGTAATTTATCACTGACACAAGACATCTAAATTAGTTAGTGCATGTTGTGGTAGTTAGTATTATGTGTTTGTTATGGATATCAAGGTGTTTCCCATGCTGATGCATTGGTAGAGTTCTCCTAATAGCACTCACTTTACCGTAGAACTTTTGCTTTTGTTATAAAATAAAAATGATTTTGTTTATTTGCACAGGCATACACGGGTTTACAAGGGTCTGTTAACTGTTCAGCTCTAACATTGTTCTCCAATAAAAATTGTATAAAGCTGGAACCATTTTAGTATTTCCCGCCATGTTCAATTATAAACTCGGAAGCAAGGGGAACCTATGAGGTTATGATATTTTAAGAAATTGTTTGCATTGCTTGTATATTTTCATTGCTTTTCTCCTTATAACTCTGCAGCGAGCCTCATTACTGAGACTCAAAAGGAACCAAAACATTTCTCTCTTACTTGCTTCTCCTCTCTGGCTCCCTGTTAGATTCTGTATTGATTTTAAAATCTCACTCCTCACCTTTAAAGCATAAAACGGCCTTGCCTGTAAATTTATCACAGACCTTACTGACATGGTATGCACCCCACTGATAGACTGAGCACCCAGCTAACTGTTCCCATGTCACAGTTTTTGACAAAAGGAGATCAGGCCTTGTCCATTAGTGACCCCATTTTTATGGAAATTGCTGGAGTCTGGCCAACTGAATCCTTGTCAATCCTGAAAAGATATATATATATATATATATATATATATATATATATATATATATATATATATATATATATATATATATATATATATATATATTCAATTGTAAGTCACTTTGGACAAAAGTGTCTGCTAAATACTTAAACATATATATATATATATGTATATATATATATATATATATATATGTGTGTGTGTGTGTGTGTGTGTGTGTGTGTGTGTGTGTGTGTGTGTGTGTATGAGGCCGGTTTGTGTTTACACAGCCTTCTGAGGAACACAGGCGTAGACAAGGACATGGGCAAGATCCGCTAAAGAGCTGTGAAAAGGCCTGTGGTGTCATTCCTAAGTGACATTAAACAAAAGCGGGCACTTACTGGAGACTCGGATATGAAGCGCATGCTTCTCATTCAGTTCGCTCACATGAGCATCGAATTCGATTTAGGTTGATCTAAGTAATAAACTGGGAGCCTTTATCCTAGTATGTTAGAACACCACATCCTCAAATGAAGTTTGTTCTCCTCGGCATTCTTCCAGTTAGCTTATGGCAATACAAATAAAAAAATAAAAAACGCTTGCGAGACTGAAGCAGACAACGTAAAAAGGATATGCACAATGGCGAAAGGAATAGACAACTACAGCAATGCTTCAGCACAGCTCATTTGGTACACGCTGTACTGAAATGTAATGATTTTATGACTTTATTTTTTCTGATTTAATCAGATTCTGTTTTGAGAACATTTTGATTTTATGATATTAATCTATTTATGATTTTATGATTTTGTTTTATTTTGTTTTGATGAATGTGAAGCACTTTGTGATTCCATGTCTGTGATAAGTGCTACATAAATAACATTTACTTACATGCTTACTTTACTGTTTAATGGTGTTACAAATGTAACTTTATGGCAATGCTATTATTAGAACACCACTTTCATAGACTTCACTTCCGGAAGTCAACAGCTCCAATGAGCCATTTCTATGCAGATGCAGTCGGGTACCTATGCTGCATTATCTGGGTTCTTCAGCATGGTTAGAACCAGTTCGCCTTCAGAAATTCTAACGCGTTTACTTCACATATCTTACAGTAGGCTGCAAACACAAGCGCAGATCATAAATAATGCTATTTTGAAATCCTGCTGGTATTGTTAGCATGACAGACAAACCCTCAGGAACTGTGTTGCAGCATTTTGTGCTTCAGTACGTTTTGTACAACATGCAGCCAAATCTGTAACCACAAGTTTTCCATTTAACTACTTATTAACGTAAGGACGGAAACTGACTCCAAAGCAGCCAAATTGTTGGCTGGTGTATTAAAAAAGGGGTGTTTAGGTGTTTTCACAGTCAAATGTGCAAAGGATAATGTTGTTTATAGATTTGTAATTAATAATTCGTAATCATACACTAACTGTACACGGTTCATTTAGCATGTTTTTTGTTTTCTCATAATGATGTTAAAACTGCTAATTATCGTGAGTTTTTATTTTATCCAGCTAAAGCTAAATTTAGGTATTAATAAGACCACCAAAATAAACTGCAGTTATCATTTGTAAACAACTCCTCTAGCAAACCTCATTGTTTCCATTTAAACATAAATATATCAAACATCAAAAAGAAATTAACTAATAAATGCAAAACTTTATAAAAATTATAACAGCAGAAAATGTGAAATTGATTTGAAAAGCAAAACAATATGTCAGCAGGCTGATGGTGAGAAAAGCCAAACTGGATGCACACTGTGCAGTGATGGAAGTAGACGAAATGAGATCTAAGACTTAGATTAGGAAAATAATGTATTTTTCTACTTTTGAAAAAGACTAAAAACTGCAAGCTGCCTCTTTCTCTTGTACAAAGAACTAAGGAATGGCCCAGATGAGCAAAAGGAGTGTGAAATCTGCAAAATTGAAACTATTGTTTAGCTTTACGCATTTAAGTGGCACTCACTGAAACAAACTAGAACATATTCAGTATAATGTTTTATTAAACATCTTTAGTTTATCAAGGCTTAATAAATAGATTCAGTTCATGTTAAAGACAACCATACAAGTAAAGTAAAAATGGTGACCATCAAAACAGAACAGACTACCTCAGATTACAGTATGTTGGATGCTTTGCAGAGCATGCCTCTTTCATTCATTCACAAAAACTCTCAAGAGATTTCCAACATTGCATGATTTCACACATCCATGAGCTTATGATGTTTTGATTTTTTCTTCTTTTTTTTTTTTTTTTTTTTTTTTTTTTTACTGAGGCACACTTTGACACATCCAGATTCAAACCAGTGACTAACTGATCTACCACAGAGCCACAGCTGCTCTTTACTTGCATATTATAGTCCCCCAAGTTGGTTGAGGTTAAATATAGATTAATTTGCCTTCTTTACAGACATCCATCTGTTATCATTTGTTTATCTGTGGTCAGTCAGTGGAGGCAGAAGCCTAAGCAGAGAGGCCCAAACTTCCCTCTCCCCAGCCACGTGGGCCAGCTTCTCCGGGGGAATCCAAAGTTCTTTCCTGGCCATCAGAGAGACATAGTCCCTCCAGGGTGTCCTGGGTCTTTCTTCAGGCCTCCTCTCGGTTGGAAGTGCCCAGACAACCTCACCAGGAAGGCATCCTAACCAGATGCCCGAGCCAACTCAACTGGCTCCTCTTGATGTGGAGGAGCAGCGGATCTATTTTAAGCCCCTCCCGTATGACCGAGCTTCTCACCCATCTTGTCCTTTTGGCCACTACCCAAAGCTCGTGACCATAGGCGAGGGCAGGAAGGTAGATCGACCGGTAAATCGAGAACTTCGCCTTCTGGCTCAGATCTCTCTTCACCACGACAGACCGTGACAGACAGATTATGTTTATAATCCCAGAAGTTTAGTCTCCTTGTAATTTCACT